AGTGGTGGAAAAGCAACCGGGATATCCATGCCTATCTAGGATCTCCCAGTCTGTCTCCAGAATAGCATTGTCGGGTGTGTCAACCATGCACCTTTGCCCACACCTGTTCGGGCACCCACTTCCAAACCAGAGGGCCAGCCGTGGGTTCAACTCCCAGAGGAAGTAGTGGTCATACTTCTGGGTCTCTGGCCTCCCCGGCACTGTTTTCTCGACCCCAGGCTGTGAGACTACAACTCAGAGGGTGGAAGTGATCACCATGTAAACTCTGCAGCGCCTTGTTTTGTACAGGAAGGGCAGCGTATTGCCGCAGTTGGCCTTGACAACAGGCTCTTAAGGGCGGTAGAATGCTGGTACCGTATAATATCAGAGATGCAGCGCTCATAACAGGGCTTAAGGGGTCCTCCTCAAAGAGTATAGGAGCCTTTAGTCGAGAAACTACCATGTAGTTGTCTGAACGCATTTACAGGGAGAAGTCGGCTGCAAGGGAGCCATTGCTGTGACAAGGCTACACAAACCTCGTTTCCTCAGCAAAGCACGATATGCATGTGCTCATATAGTCTTTCTGAATTTCTCTTGTCGGCTCGTTTTTGCTATCCCTGCAATTGTTTCAGGAACTGTTTCGGGCTGCTTGGAGACGCTGATTGACATTGATTGTGCCTGCTTGGAGCCCAAGATGCTAGGTCGTTCACACCCTATGAAAGGACGCTATGCTCCCTGACTCCTATGCCCTACATGAATCCCAAACACCACGAACAGCGCTATAGAACGAGTATGATGCCGTATGGCCCCTGGAACCCCTTTGAAGGGACCTTGGGATCCCAAAACCCCCGCAGCCGCCGGGGAGCGCCCAGGTCGATCAGGATCGGAGAGCACTTCTGGATGGAGGATGGCGCGAGGCCGAGGTTGAAGAAGAAATTGCGCCAAAGTGTCTGCAGACAGGGCTATGTGGGAGACTTTCCCAAACTATCCCTATAGAACACACAGTAAGGACTCCCCTGATCCCGCTGTAATCCCCGCATATCGCTAGCCTATCATAAGGGTCCCGATAGTCCATCCCTCACTGCCTACTACCAACCACCAGGAAGCAGCGGCATCACAGGCCCCCAGCCTGTGAAGGCAGGTAAACTGCTAACTCGCTGTCACTCAGTTCACCTTTGAAGTTCACCTGCCCAGGGCAAAGGACTTAGGGTTTAAGGTTTGTAGGGTTT